TTTGATCAGGGTTGGAGCTAAACTCTGCAGCGCATTGGCCCTCTAGGGCAAGATTTGAGGAACCCTGCCCTACAGGAAAGGATCAGAATGCTGAAGATGAAGCCAGAATTGTGAGTCTGTGTCATTTATGTTATTCTATAATGTGCAGTACAAATTTAAAACACACAAATTAATATTAAAAATATAAGTTTAACTGGGCAGCCACACAATATCTGCTTATGTTCACACCTGGAATTTTCTAATTATTAAAGATATAAAACTGCAAAAAGATAAATGATTAGTTGACCCAAAAATGAAAAATTGTCATCATTTCTCACTCTGTCATTCCAAACCTGCAAGACTTTCAATCAATTTCAAAACACAAGTGAAGATATTTTAAATGAAACCTGAGAGATTTCTGTTTAACTTTAAAAATTTCACCACACTAGACAATACTTCTTTATAAATGAAACAAGAATTTATTGGCTATTCTAGATTACATTAACCTAAGCTAAAACACACACATACAGTTCTGAAGAATGAGAGTTGACAGAGTTTGCATGAAGTTCCCAAAGTTCTAACTCGTTTTCCACGAGTTCTTTTATTATCATGTGGGGAAATATCTCTGCGACGAGTTTGTTAATACTTCTATAAAGTTTCTTAATGCAAGTATCGTACATATTTCACACTTCTCCTTCATACCAACGTTTCTCACATAAAATAAGCTTTCATTCGAGCTCAAATAACAGGTATTTTGCATACACAATCTTAATTACTAAAAGGAAAGGTTATAAGGCAAAGATTAAGATATCATGGTTTCAATAACACAGGCCTGAGGGTGTGATTAAATTACTCGTCCTTTTCCTGTTGGATATAATAGTTCCATACATTGTGCGATCACAAGACATCATGAGGTATCTATAGGTTGTGAAAGAACTTTTTTAGTCCTTGATACAAAGAAAGCTTTGTTGTCTCCTGATTTGATTAGTTTCGACCTCATGATGGCTGATAGGGGGAGATCTTTAGATCCTTCTGTAATATTTCTGTTTCATGATTCACGTGGTGAATCCACAGCTTATGGGGGTCTGTTTCACAAGCCAGAGACCTTACAGTCTACACAACCACCACTTTGATGCTTCAAGAAGTTCATAAAGAGATCATAAAACTAATCCAAATGAATCAAGCGGTTTAGTCCAAATTGTCTAAAGAGACTCGATCGCTTTATACAATGAACAGATTGAATTTTGGTTTTGTTGGGTTTTTTTCACATTTAAACATTGATCAGGGAACATAAACAGAAAAACACTAAACCAAGACTAAACCACATGATACGTATGGATTAGTTCTCTTTATGGATTAGATCTCTTTATGAAGTATCAAAGTGGTAGTTGCGTGGACCGTCATTAAAGGGACAGAAATCTTATATTCTATTAAAATATCTTTAATTGTGTTTCAAAGATAACGAAAGTCTTGGCTGAGTAAACGATGGAATTTTCATTTTTGAACTAACCCTGTAATAAAAGAATGTGGGTGTGTATCCTCGTGTATCCTCCACCTCCGCTGGATCCAGCCCCTCCATCCCACCTGGAACCTCCATCTCCGAACCGCCGACTCCCTCCTCTCCGACCACGTCTATTACCATACCCATGATTCATGCCGCTGGACTGATAAAGCACTGGACAACGAACCCATTAACCAGAGCCGCTGCTGTAGTTCTGATGCAGGTTCAAAGATGATAAAGTGTTCAAATGCCACTGAATGTCATTTATTCCTATGTTTTACATTCCAACATAACGTTATTTTCTCAAATATCTGTACTAACTGAACTGGAGTGTGGAGTAACAATGAGAAGGCTTTATAAAAATAAATAAATAAAATTACATACAATTATTCCTTATATTCTCATGAAGATTCCCGTGTCTATTAGATAACATTATCATTCTTCTTAATTTTCTATTACCTAATATTAGTTCTAATGTCATATTATTTGCACCTTCTGATTGTATCTTTGTTTCCTGCATCTGTCTCTCTTTGCTATATGCTCTACACTGTAATAAAATATGCTCAACTGTTTCAATGTCGCCACAAGATCTACATAATTTTCTGTACTGTCATACATATATGACGAACAGGTTTTAGCCGAGGCGACTAATAATGACGTCTTGGAGTGCGATTGGTGCTGGCTGCGCATGCATGCGCTGTAAATCAAAATTCAAAGCAACGCTGCTGTCACTTGATTTTTTCCTCTCCTCCCCCAAATCCTAATCAATTATAGATAGACGAGGTATAACAAAAAAAGAAGTAATCTTGTTTTTATTATTACGTCTATTCATATATATATATATATATATATATATATATATATATATTATTTACCTTAAAAACTGCTTAATCCAGCCTAGCATATGGTTTTAGCTAGTTTTAACATGTCTCCCAGTCTGACCAGAAGAAAAGTGGCCAAATAGCCAACAACTATTAAGTATTTATTTATTTATTTAAAAATTACTGCCTAAGGCATCATAATACCATCGGAACACTACAAAAGATGTCCTTTTGTATTGTTCAGTGGCTGCGCTCACCCATGTAAGTGACTTAAAGCAGTGGTTCCCAACCCTGGTCCTGGAGGCACCCCAACACTGCACGTTTTGCATGTCTCCTTAATCAAACACACCTGATTCAGGTCATCAGCTCATTAGTAGAGACTTCAAGACCTGAAATTGGTGTGTCAGAGAAAGGAGACATGCAAAATGTGCAGTGTTGGGGTGCCTCCAGGACCAGGGTTGGGAACCACTGACTTAAAGAATGAATGCATCCAAGATCACCTTAACCTATATCCTTGAAAAATCCCCCATTTTATTCCACTATCATTTGGAATATAGTCAATTAACAATGTAACAAATTGTTCTTGTTATAACATAAAATTGCACACACACACACACACACACACACACACACATAAAAAAATAAAAGGCTTTCCAAAGCAGCAGTGTCATGGTGAATACTTGTATTCACAATAATGTTCATCTCAAGACCTAGAGACATTAATTATGTTCACACATCTACCTTGATTGTGTAATCTTATAGATAAATCTCCATGTCTAAGAGAAGTTGTCTCCTGTTTTCTTGCTGTATCGCAGTACAAAAAAACAAAACAAAATGAGCTCTGTTTACCTCTATTGAGCGTCAGGCTTCAGGCAATTGTTGAATTCTTATACTCTAATTGGCCTATATGCACATATTGTCATTACTGTCTTGTTTAAAGGCAGTGGAGCAGAGGCAGGGATTAACAAGGAGGTGTAACAGCAACTGTTTTAACAGAAAGCAGGGAGATAATTAGAACCCTGTTGCGTTGTGATGGGAGAACTGCGTGGGAAAGGTGTGGAGGACTTATCCTGCAGAAGTTTCCTGACCCTGTCATGAAATATGTATTAGATCTTTACCATCACAGCAAGTCCTCATTTTTAAATGAACCTACATCCACCATTCTTTCTCTTGTGCTCTCTTTCTGGCTCTGTCCACACATTCTAGCACAAACATACTCACACCTTTTACTTTTAATTTAATTTTCAAGAAAATGTGAGTAAAAAAAGAACATTACCTGCTTGAAACTAGACCTTTTTTTACTCCGAGGCCCCCACATTGTCCACAAAATTATTTGAAAATAAAAGTGTACATTCATTATAAAAACTCCAATTAAATTTTAAGATTTTATGAACAGCCTGCTAAAACACTAGCATAGCTGCTCACAGGATTTTGTTTTGTTTTTGGATGCTTCTGCCTGGCTTAACCAGCTAGATCTCTAGTCATCCAGCTTCACAACAAAGATTGTTCTAGCTTACCAGCCAGTCGCTATACCAAACTAACAGCATGTAAACTCAACTTAATCTATTCAAAAAAAAAAAAAAAGATCACCTTCTAAAATATAACATGTATTATGGCTAGGATACTAGCATGTGTTTTTTTCTTGAGAAAAAGCTTTACACGCTGGCTAACTTTACACTCCACCCACAGACCAATGGTATTACTCTGAAACTTAAGTCTTTACATTATTAAGCTGTCAAGGGAGTTGGGGGTCTCTGACATTGATGGCTGTGAAGAGAGTGAGTGTGTGTGTGTGTGTGTTTCATGTCTGTCAGTGAGGGATTACAAGGTGTTATTTTAGGATAAATGTGGTACAGAAGCAGGAAGTAATAGGAGCTTGTGACTTTTGACTTGCCATCACAACATAAGAAAACATATAAAATCACAAAAATTCCATTAACAAATAAAATGCAGTTTTTTTTTCTTTTCGTATATATATATTTCACTTTATGAAATTAAAAACCTAATAGGGGAGACACAAATTGTATAAATATTTCTCATTTGTCTGTTTATTTATTTTTGTTTGTTTACCCAAAGTATAAAAATATAGTTTTGAGGAATTCTATTTATATTCCAGTTCTAAATATGGCAATTAAAATCTAAGAATATTCGAATAAAGAAAATGATTATATTCATATATATATATATACTTAATTGTATGTTAATTGCAATTAAATGAAAATTAATTTTAGTTTAAACACAATTAGCTGAATTTTGTGCTTTTTGACCCAAGTAGGACTTAAGTATATCTTTATATGTAATTTCATAATGAGTTTTATTGTCTTCAAAAATATACTTTAATGTAATTTCTGTCAAAACTTGTGTCATGTATTTGAAAATGTTTGTAATTACACATTTGTCATGATGAAGTTGCAATTTAGCATATTTAAAATGCATTTATAACTTTAAATGAAATATCAAATAACACGCTACAATCAACACATCAAAATATGTATACTTAAAATCTAGACTTTATAATAAGCAAAAAGATTATTAAAATATAACAATTTTAAAATGTTAAAATTAAAATAAACGTTTTAATTTGACTTTATTACAAAATGTTACTTTTTAAAGAAACAGTCATGAAAGTGTACTTTCTTAAGTACACTTAAATTACATGTTACTGGTATTACATTTAGTACTGTTTTTAATACACTTTTAAGATGTAAAATACATTTATTACAATTAAATTCACTTCTTTTTCAAAAGAGAATGACTAAAAACCTTTTTTTAATTACCGAGATATTGACTGTGACAACTAGCCCCATACTCCCCTACACTAAGCAAATAGTAAATTATTTTACTATAGTATGGAGACATTTAAAAAAACAAAACCAAACAACTGCATTAGTGGATATCGAACCGTTTCTGTCCTTACACAAAATGGAAGCTATAACTTTGCAAGAGTAGTATCTCAAAAACATTAGGTATCCAGACATGGTTATTTCTGTCCCATTTGCAGATGTGGATCATTTATAAAGAGACCATGGAAGTTGGTTCAGTGAAGAGCTGAACCATACAAATGGGAATAAACCCATCTACACTCTTGAATGAG